AGAAGAACCAAGTTGTTGTTTTCATAACAACACACAACTCAAAATCCCTGCACTTTACTCATTTATTTATTTAAAGTCATCTACTCTCGGACTAAATTAAACAACGTTTCCCTGTGGATTCGACCCGGTATTTTACCGGAAATTATTACTATATCGGCACTTGTATACTTGCAAGTTCAAACCGATCAGTTGGAGGGTTTATGTGACGGTTTCGGAAGAGTAGGAGGGCCTATTTGACCCCTTTTCCATGTTTTTTTTTACATATTCAGCACCCCATCCCCATGTTTTGTGAAGTAGCATGTTAAACTTTTTTTTTTTGAAAATCCACATGTTAAACTTTTTTTTATATTGACTATATCATTTAATGAGATTATATATCTACCAGCGAATTATTGATGAGTGATGGAATATAATTCCAGCAAAAAGAGCTTAATCAATCAAATATTCATTGATCGTGAGAAAGTGATAAGAGTATTATTCATCGGGAGAGGCTCTCCCTTTACAAGATATGTACATGAGTATTTATAGACTTTAGGAGTTGATATGTTAAGAGGAATCTAATACAATAAATGCTAATTAATGAACTATATTCTTGCTCGAAATATAACTCCTCTCATGTCTTGGTTGTCAAGTATTAATTGTCTCCTTGTTTCCAAACTCCAGACGAGTCCTGCCTGTTGCCAAATAGTAATGTCCGAATAATAGCCTGCCACGTAAACCTTAGGAATATCCCGGCCTCACTAGCTAGAACTCCGCCCAGGCTCGAGGTCTGCTGTCCAGCCCAGCCTAGCTGTGGGTTCCTGTCGTGGGCTTAGTTCCTAATGGGCCCAGCGGCTTATTGAGCGCTAATCCCGTTTAGGACTTGATCCCGTTTATGGGCTAATCCTGTTAATTAGGCTGATCTCGTTATGGGCTGATCCCGTTATGGGCTGATCCCGTTGAGGGCTGATCCCGTGAATGGGCTGGATTATGTAATTGGGCCACGGTCAAAGTCCATGGTACCATCAATGAGCAAACATCAAATTTTGTTTCCGCCACCTAACATAATTTGAATAAGCATAAGTAATTTAACTATATTCTTAACAATTCGTAACTTTCCTTGCCTAATTGTGAAACTAACTGTAATACCCGAGATTAATATAAGAGGATTAATAGTACTACTCATACAAACAGAGGTGCATCTCCTTTTAAGGGAGCTCATTACCTAAGAACTCCAAAGTTAAGCGTGCTTGCTCGGGAGTAGTCTTGGGATGGGTGACCCCCTGGGAAGTTTCTCAGGGCGCGCATGAGTGAGGACAAAGTGCGCGGTAAAGGTTCGTGGTGGTTTGTGGGGACAGTACTATTGGTCCGGAGTAACTACCTCGGGTCCGGTGGGGCCGGGGTGTTACAAATGGTATCAGAGCAACCCTGCGACAGTGTGCTGATCCGTTGGATATCGGGCAGACACCTAGCAGGGGAAAAGTTTCTGGGATTTGATTGAGATTGGTTTAAGGGCGCAACGAGGACGTTGCGATCCTAAGTGGGGGTGATTGTAATACCCGAGATTAATATAAGAGGATTAATAGTACTACTCATACAAACAGAGGTGCATCTCCTTTTAAGGGAGCTCATTACCTAAGAACTCCAAAGTTAAGCGTGCTTGCTCGGGAGTAGTCTTGGGATGGGTGACCCCCTGGGAAGTTTCTCAGGGCGCGCATGAGTGAGGACAAAGTGCGCGGTAAAGGCTCGTGGTGGTTTGTGGGGACAGTACTATTGGTCCGGAGTAACTACCTCGGGTCCGGTGGGGCCGGGGTGTTACACTAACATTGTATCGGTGCAACCTATGTTGCACGGATACGTGAATACGGGTACGATACAACTTCAAAAATTATAAGATACATGTATAGGGGTATATTCATAAATAAAGTATTAGTATTACCAAAAATCAACAACTATAAGAAAATTTCAAAACTTAGACTAAGCAATTAAACTAAAGTATGATATTTCAATTTAACCGTCTTTTCAGACAACTATAAGAAAATTTCAAATATTAGACTAAGCAATTAAACTAAAGTATTGATTATTCGGGCACTTTTGAAAATCGGAGTTACTTTTAACAGTCGTTTTCAAACGTTTTTAACGGTGTAACCCTCTTGTGATAACGGAATTCAAACACACGAACCAGGCCACTTTGATAAAGAATGAAACACATGATCCTATCTGAAAACGGGCCTAACCACAAGTATCTTTTCCATACTTTTCCCTTTTCTATTTGCATTTACATCTAAGTCTTTTAACAAGACCAATTCCAATTCAGGCTAATCAAGCAACAAATTGGCAAATTCAAGTAATCCAGTATCTTCCATACTCCGAAAATCATCTTCATCAAAGTTTCACACTTTATGCTTCTCACTTTCATATCAAACACAATTGATTTAGAGGTGCAGTGTGTTTAAACTTATTAAGTGTATGAGAGAAGATGTAGATTACTATTTTACCCAAAAAGAGATGCAGTTGAAGAATGATTGATGATTGAGGAGTGATGAGATGTGGCCGCTTGGCTGGCTACTCTATTCTTTTTACGCCGTGTACGGGAATCGGGGCTATAGAATTAGATACGCGTACTCGTTTACAGATACGGGTATCTCAAGTTCTTATGTTATTAATAATAAGTCTAATATGATGCACATGCCGTGTATAATTGAGTTTCAGTATCAGATATGTATTCGATGCACGAATATGATGTCGGAGTGAAGTATCGTTACACTTTATTTGTCTATTCTTAACATTTTAGGACATCTTTAAATTTTAGTCTCATCCCGTATTACAGTTTTATTAAGACTTAAGAGTGACACCGATGGGCGCAACTCACATGGTAGGAGGAGGGGGCCACAAGGGAGAGATCTCGTGTTCAATTCCAAGCACAGACTTGAGGTGAATTCACACTCTCTTTTTATCGGTGTGTGATCATATTAAGTGACACATAATCAATCTTACTATAACAAATTCAAAATCAATCACACAATTTAGATACATTACCATTTGTGTGTTAAAATTTTCAGACATAACATACGAGATGGAGTGTGGGAGGTAGTAGTAAAAGTTTATGTCCATAAACATATACATATACACACTCTAAGGCAAAAATGTTTATTATCAATCACATTAATAAATGCAAACATTTTTCTCTTGCAGTAAAACTCTAGTACTATGGAGTTTAGTTTAGATATTTTATCAATTTGTACTCCCTCTGTTTCTAAATGTTCTTTCAAATTAAAGTGACACGGTGATTAAGAAAGTGGGAATTGTGTGGTGGGGAGTTGTGCAGAGGAGAGAGAAATGCTGTGAACCACAAATTTTTTGCCATAAAGGGAAAGTAAAGTTCTTTTTGGGACAGACGAAAAGGGAAAGTTGGAAGTAAATTAAGGGACGGAGGGAGTATGTTTTATGTCCATTCGATTCCATTACTCTACATCATGTATGTATGGAGATATTACCCAAAATGGGACTAAAAAAGTTTGAAAATTCCAAAATAGGACTTCCATGTTTTTATTCCCAAAATAGGACTAATTACTGACATGTTTTGGCAGTACCAGACTTCAAACATGGCAGTATTTTCCAAATTTGGCAGTAATTAGTCCTATTTTGGGAATAAAAACATGACAGTCCTATTTTGGAATTTTCGAACTTTTTTAGTCCCATTTCGGGAACTTTCCCTGTATGTATGTGTTGCCGTGTCAACTTTGTTGGAGTGTAACCTATGATAACTAAAAGGAATATGTAATTCAATTACTCAAGTGTTCGTATTTTTATTAAACACAAAAGGTTCTTCCATGGGACCAACCGATTAAAGAATGAGTGTCTATATTTGCAAATATATCTGTTTCATAAAAATTATGGTATAAAGTTATTAATCAGTGGCATACGGCCAAAAATATTTATACAAGGAGCTGTGCTTTGCAAGTCTAACTGCTCTGCTATACCATGCGCCGAACTAGAGGAATTACAGAGTAAGTCAAATAAAAATTCTAAAAGACATAAGTACAAGTATTAATTAATTTAATAGAGTAGATAAAATCATAATACTGGCCCTTAAAAATAGTACTCCCTAGAGTAAAATCTCGTCTATCTCCCTCCCCATATAATCATTAGAGCTATATAAATATTTGCACTTGCAGAGAGCACAGTCAAAGATGATATTGCAAATTAATTTCGCTTAGGCACGACTCCTGTGGAAGCCTTGGTAAGAAATTCTCCAAAGACGGATTCAAAAACATGAAATTCAGATTTACGAGTATTTCCAAAGACACCCAGCATTAAGGAATTAAAATTTCTTAGTTCTTCGTTTAAGCACAATCGATGGAGTGATTATTGAGGTGATAAATATTTATATTCGCTCTTACCGCCAAACGTTAACGCCGATTTTTTTTGTTTTCTATCAACTAGCTAGACAAAATTTAGTAAAACAATATCGTATTATTTATTTACTATAAAGTATATTTCTTTTTTGCAACAACTACAGAGTATATTTTATTATTACTAACATAAAAGTTTCATAAAAATACAACATATTATTTATCTCTTGCATATAAATCTTGATCAAAATTGGATAAATTATTAGATAAGGAAAAGGTAAAATTAGTTTTAATTTCATCAAACGTGTAACTTTTTATTTTGATCAATGCGTAAATTTATGAAGTAAAAACGTAATTTCATCACTGAGTATTATCTCAGTGAATTTAGTTATTATTACAAAAAATACTCTGTATTTCTTTTGATTTTAACAAATTAAAGCATGGTGTTTATTTTTTGTTGTTAGTTTAGATTAATTATTGAACAAATTATTTCAAGGAATAAGAAAAATTAACCATTTTTTAGTGAAATCGGCTTAGATAAATAACCAATAAAAGTTCAGAGTATGGGTCAACAGACAAAACGAAAACTGATAACCGCCATCCCTCGAACCAGACTCGGAATTTATCGTCGTAGCAATATAATTTGCTGATCCATAACCGAGAAACAAAAAGCCTAACACGGTTACCAAATTCCTCTCATCCCCCACATCCAACATCAATGTCTTACAAACTGGAACAAAAACAAAGAAACACACGCCAAAGCAAAAGTAACAATCGTTGGAAAAGTAAACAAAACAAACTAAATAACACCCCTGCCGCCGCCAGAGATCAACCCTTGTCGGTGGTTCTGGAGGGGGTCGTACCATCGGTACCACACCTATTGATTCTCTATTGACGATCAAAATCTGGAATACGCGAAGCCCGTTCATTCCTCCGCGTTCCCCTCTTATAGCAAGACCGCGGCTAATTGTTTTCTTCTCCGCTGCCCAGCCGTGTACAACTTTCATCTGCCTTCCCGCTTCACCGTGTAAAATCCGTCTGCAAAATTGCCTCCCTGCGAAATAACCCTCGCTCGACCCAAAAGACGAAGCGAAACAGTCAAGCAAAAGAATTGACCCGCTGCTGCAGTCTTCGAAGCCCTCCGAGAACACCAGCACCCACCGTCGATCCCGTTCCAACCTAAAGCAATGGCTGAAACGAAAACGGGACAACAAAAGCTTCACTATGCGGCGGCGATAAAGCCGAAACCTAGAGAGAAATCCAATAAAAATTAACCATGATATACAGAGTTTATAAAACATACGGAGTACAAACTTACGAAGAGTCCATAAAAGATATTCCTAAAATTTGGACTGCTTTTTCTTTTACTAAACATCTGGTCTCCTAATTTTAATACTTCCTCCTCCGTTCTGTTTTAATTGCAACAGTCAATATTTCACGTTTGTCAACGCACAAGGTTGACTATTAATATCTTTCATTCCTTTTTAGTAAAAAATCAAAAGTTCACACTTGAAAATTTAGAATGAGAAGAATTTAACAATATTTTTAAAAAAATTAATTTATAATATATTAAGTAATAAAATATTTTCAAAGTAGAATATGTGAATAGTGCAAAAAGTCCAATGTTGCAATTAAAAGAGAGTAGTATATAGAAAAGCTGTAGTTCGAAGTCCTAACACCGACCACGAAAAACACTACACACTTCCATATCCTTTAAAACCTTCCTAGCGAAAAACCGCCTCTACGTCGACGATTTCTACAAAAACCATCAAAGAATTACATCCAACCTCTCATATCTCCCGTCAAAGCACCAAATTTCAGCAAAAGAGAAAGATAAGCTATGGAATCGGGGATTTCAGATATGGGTTTTCTCAGTCCTGAGCCGGATCACCTTTCACTACGTCGGCGTGCACCCACTGGATGTTTGTTTGTCAGACAAAGTTTGCTGCACCTGCGGAAGTTCGTCGGGACGTCCCAAACCTTGTCACCCAGCTTCTGGTCCAGCACCGCTATCGCCAGTGGGAGCGCCCACCGCTGCAACGGAACTCACTCACCGTCATACCCATCCGCTATAGTCCCCTGGAAAAAACCTATATCTTCCAGGTCTGAAAAACTCGCTTTGAATGGCGCCGGCCACTCACTCTGGCCTCCACCTTCAATCCATCACTTGCTCCTATTCTGTTTCTGAGTCACGGCACCGCCACACCGCGATAGCGGCTAGCAAGCCCACTTTGTTAGCCACTTAGCCGCCTCCCAGACCAGCCAAATACAACTCAAGCAGCACCGCTTCAGACATTACTACTATTTATACTGGTCTTAAACTTGGAGTATGAGCTGGATTCAATTTCAAATCACATATCCCAAGGTCTTACTCTTGTTTCCAAAGTCTTGTTTCAAAAGTCGGGTGGCTTGCGTTCGAAAATTAACACAATATTTGAATCAACTTTGTCATTAATGGTGTGCATACATCCCATCAACTTTAACTATTGGGCAGTGAGCTCCATCCGTTTTTTTGTTGTCTTCCCCATGTTACGTGACCAAAGCATTGACTAATGCCATCCCTAAAACCCGACCCGGTTTTTTACCCATATTTTTGGGCGGGAAACGCGCTAGATTTTCCACTGCTTTTTATATAGATGTAGATGTAGATATATATGAACTTTGTTTTTATGCATTAATTAAGGTGATGTGTTGTCTGGATGAAAAGGGTGTCAACGACGGGCAAGAGTAATTTAGGAGAGATGTTAAAGGGTGGCTAGAAATGTATCAAAACGTTTAGATTTGTGTTTATTTGGCCTACTTGAAACCATAGTGTCAAATCTGAGATTCATTGAAGACCTTAATGTCAATTTTGGTCCTTTTCCCTGAATCATTACCACAAATAACATGCATATAAACCCTTCCACATGTAAACATTAATTACCGAAGGTAAACCATATAAAGACATTTTTCTCAATATCAATTACACATCATATCAAAAACTTGAAAAAATTATTACTGATAAAAAATACGGGGACATGACAAGATTAAAAAAATTGAAATTAAAAATTTTTGCACTTATAAATCTATGCTCTGCGGCGGACGCAGGAATTTCCGGTAGCAGGGGCGACAGTACAAAAATATACATACAAATTCATATACATTCAAATTTTCAGGATAAATATACCTAATTTTTTTTGGAGGGGCAGCAACCCCCCTTTGTCACCCCCTTTGTCCGCCACTGTCTATGCTGATGTTTAAAAGCGAGACTTGGACGTAGTTATCAACTAACTTGTTCTACTTGGTCCTGCACCATCATTATTGATCCCAAAATTTGTGAAAGCGCTAAAACTTTCACCTGTATGAATTTGAGACTCCATTTCACTTATGCCGGTAGTAACTATGCTCATGTTGGCTACATGATAGGCATGAAGAATCGTCTCCCCGGCAACAATGTATTGTGATGCATGAGTTTCACCAAAGTATTTATTTAGCTCAACATTGAGATTTGGGTTCCCAAAATTATAAGCTTTATTTGTAGGTGAAATTATCACTGCAATGAGATCCCCGGTCAAAGCACACAATTCTCTCGCATTTTTCAAAATACCGGAATGACATTTGGAAAATATTACTTGACGATGAGTTTCATTTTTGACCTTTGTGAGAAGAATCCTCTGGCAACTTCTACTGGATCTCTTATTCGCTGTGTTGCTAGACATTATGAAACTAAATAACGTATTTGATTTGGCAAAATTCTGAACTCATGTATGCCATACATTATAGAAGATGCAAATTGTATTTATAGCAAACTTGTGGTGCCATCTTGATATTTTTATGGCATGATATGTATAGTATTATATTAATTTTCTTTACAAGGGATATCAACTTTATGAGTTTGCCAAATGGGGTTTGAATACTTTTATGTAGGTACAATCCAAGTATGCTAATATCATAATACTTCCTTAGATTTATGGCAAGTATGTGATGTATCCGAGTAACATAATTAAAACCTTGCCAAATTATTAGACATTTAGACATTGTCGCACAACTTGCATATCATCACTATTAATAGCATTTTCACTATAAATTTTCAAAATATAACTATTTAGTTCCTGATTCGTAATACTAAAAACGGCTGATTCTGCTGAAATTTATGAAATTCTTGCTGCAATGCCTGAATTGCCGATTCTGCTGATTTATGAAAAAATTATATATAAAATATGTTTTATGAATAAAATAAAGAAAAAATTACATGTCAAAATAGCTAAAATGGTCCTCTACAATAACTTCGGTCAGTACAGTCAGAAAAGTAACTTCAATCTTACTTTTCTTATTATTACACAACTCAACATGCGAAATAAAAAATTATGTGTTTGGTGAAAAAGTTAGCTGATAAGCCAAAAACAAGATTACCAAATGGACTCTTAATTGATTTATATATTAGACCAACATCTACAATTTGTAGATGTTGGAATATTAGTAAATATATTAAGTTAATACAACTCTAATAAATGTTTACAACTCTTTTTAGAATGCAGCCATGTTGTGTTTAATCGGCTGGTCAAATTTTGAAATGGTTAGAATACACATAATAATAGACAGTGGCGGAGGGAGGGGAGGGCCACACTGGGCCCCGGCCCAGGGTAGGTTGGAGTAATTTCAGTTAGTAATATTAAAAATAAAGAAAGAATATAAGCGGCCCAGTGGTAAAAAAATGTCGGCCCAGTGTCCCCCGCATGGCTGACTCACTTGTGAGTTGTGAATGGGAAATTCTATATACACTCCCCATTTTTCTTTTCACAGCCCCTCATTAAAACTAATGCATTGTAATCCCTATTTTATCCCAAGTGTTATTCTCTCAATGGTAAAAGGCGACCCAAAAGTTGATGGAGTCTTGGTCCGAAGTTTCGGAAACAAGTTAAATATTTAAGGGTCGTTTGCAGATCGTTAGCTCCCATGCGATGGAAGAAATTAAAGCTTCGGAAAGTGTAATGCGTCTATGGAGAAACAGAGTCCGAATAAAGGCTTCAGATCTAGGAAGAGAAATTAAAATGAAAATGGTGTGGAGTGTGCTCATCGAATCAGAATCAGAGTTTGGAGACCCATTCACAGCTGAAGAGATATGGTTTCGATGTCTCCTCCTACGATACTGACCAGCTCATGAAGCCCCTGGACATGCTCAACAGAGAGGGTTTGATTTTGCTACTGGCATGAAATATTTGTTGTGAGCCTGTGACCAATATCACTTGGAATGTGGAGGAGCATACGATGGATGATGAATTGCTTTTGTTGGTGGAAATTTCTAGCAAATGTTTAAAAAGATACAGGAAGTTCAATTCGTAGAGCCGAGATGCATAATTGATGATTAGAGCAGAGTTGTGTTCTTTTAAAATACACCGTATAAAACAAGAACCGAAGTCAGACAATTGAAAGGGCATAATTGGTAATTAAATTTATGGTGGCTGTATTTAGTAAAAAGGTGTGTGTGAATAGAATTACCCGTTGTGAATTTGTGATATGAAAAAGGAGGCCATGTGTCAAAGTAGGAGTGTGTGCCCGTGTAATAAAAGTACGAAAGGAGGAAAAGAATCAAAACAACATTTTTAAAAGGAAAATAACACGTAGGCCTTAATCCTTAGGCAAGCAATCAAATCTTGACCAATTCTTTTAAACTTAAAAGGAATTAACCTTTAGTGAAGCAACCAAACGCTGACCTTGTTAGAGTAATTTTATAACCCCAATTTATGAATTATGAATGAGAGAATTCCTAAATATGAGTAAAAACGTTTTAAAATTCCAAAGTAGGAGTATCATGAATTGGAGTAAATTTCTGCCAAGTTTGACATTACAAAGTTTTTAAACATAGCATTTTTTTTTTCAAATTTGGCAGATTACTTCTATTCAGGGAATAAAAAACACGACACTCCTATTTTGGAATTTCAAAACGTTTTTACTCCTATTTAGAGCAATTTCTGATTATGAATTATGTGTCAATCTATTCCTTCATAACTTGCAAGAGTTATTTTTTTTTTTGTAATATATTGTCAATTTCTAACCATAATTTATATGTGGTATGTGATTTGTTTATATTAATTGGATACAAAATCATTCTTGTCTTATTAAATTGTTACGGAGTATTACATTCACTTTCAATTCAAATAATGTGTAATGATTTTTGTAAAATATTTTGATTTAATAGAAAAGAGATTATGGCACTCAATGGCCTCCTTCAAAGAAAATTAAAGTACCTGTACATTTTTTTTGCTCTAAAAAATTTTGCATTACTTTTTAAGATTGGCTACTACCGCTAGCGGTGTAAAAAAGTGAAAGTACTAACGAGCACCAAATTGACCAAAGTGTTCCTAATGTTGAAAATCATTCATCTTCTACTTTGGTAGAGATTGAAAGAGATCTAGGAAAAATAAAAAAAATATCTGATTTGCCTTTAGACAAAAAGAATTAAGTGAGGCAACAATATTTAGTATCTCGCCCTTACCAACGATTCAACGAACAAAAACCTCAGTCGTATAAAAGTCAAGAGTGTAAGAGCCCGTTTAGTAATATTCAAACCAGTTGTATTAGATGATTCTGCTGAAATTTATGAAATTCTAGTTGAACTGACTGGATTTGCTGATTGTACTCACTTATGAAAAAAGTATATTTAAAATATTTCTTTAATTAAAAAAAGTAAAAATTATATGAAGATAGCTAAAATGATCCTTTATAGTAACTTCAGTCAATATAGCTAGGAATTAATTCGATCTTTACTCTTTCGTATTATTACATATTTCAGCACACGAAATCAAAAGTTATGTGAATGGTGAAAAAGTTGGTTGATAAGCTCAAACTGAATGTCATCGCGGAACGATTATTGAACGTCAAGGAGATAGAAAACATCAACCAACAAACTGAATGTAATCGCGGAATTTAGAAAATATCAAACCATGATTAAAGCTACCCTTCAAATATCTCAACAACTATTTCAAAGCATTCCAATGAGACATATTGGGATTGAACATCTACTCAAGCAACTAACACCGTAAGCAATATTGGACCAAGTGCTAACCATTAGATACATAACCGACCCTATAGCACTGGAACAAGCACCAATTTCATCATATCAATTTTAGAAGCAGTCTTGGGATTACTTAACACAAAATGGGATGCTAAAGTGATATTAACAAGAGAAGAAAAATGCAAGTTAAAACAAGGGCAGATTTACTCCTATCTCTAACAAGATTTATGTCTAGGATCTCTTTGCATCCCTTGGGTCTTTCATAGAAAAATTATCACTCA